CCTTTGACCCCTGGAATTTTTCATCTCCATCTGTAGCTACCCGAGTACTTTCGACGCCGTTTCGAGAGTTTGTGGAGTAAACCATTACCAAAAATCTGGCGCTCGAGAACCGCCCGTAACCAGCGTCATTCGTAAGGAACCGTTTTCTCTGTGGCGAGAAAACCCCTTACAATATCGTCTTTAAAAAAACTGTAATGTAAGTTTATATAATCATCACCGCTACATCAGTCTGCAGTGTTGCCAATCTGCCAGTAATTACTAGCATTTGCCACTCCTTCTGACTCACTCAGAAAAGTGAGCCAAAGAGGTGCTATTAGCCAGAGCGCAATGGCGTACTAAAAAATAGAGATTAATACGTATGGAAACAAAATTATTAAAATTTAATTTATATTTTTGTTATTTGAACCAATGGAGAAACCTCCCCTGGACTTGACATCTTCAGGAAAAATCAAGCTCTTTAATGGGTTAAAGCCTACTGATTATAAAAAAATCTGTTTAAAAATTGAAGGTTAAAATGTGAAGAATATCATATATAATGCTCAGCATTATATTCTACATTCTTTTTTAGATTTTGTATTTAGTGCTCGCACATTCTGCATGGCCCCACTCTAAATATAGAATAAAACATATGTTTAAGACATATTTTGTATCAAAACAAAACTTAGTAGAACATTCAAATTGAGAACACTATTTCTACGGTGAGTATCCAAAATATGTGCATTTTTACTTTCCTATCTATATACAGATATAAGGAAAGTATAGGAATCATGATTTTTTCGACCTCGGGTTTTCGACGGATTTTTACGTTTTGAGGTCCCCTGAATCCGTTTTGACTATTTTCGCGATAATGTCTCTGTGTGTGTGTGTGTGTGTGTGTGTGTGTGTGTGTGTGTGTGTGTGTGTGTGTGTGTGTGTGTGTGTGTGTGTGTGTGTGTGTGTGTGTGTGTGTGTGTGTGTGTGTGTGTGTGTGTGTGTGTGTGTGTGTGTGTGTGTGTGTGTGTGTGTGTGTGTGTGTGTGTGTGTGTGTGTGTGTGTGTGTGTGTGTGTGTGTGTGTGTGTGTGTGTGTGTGTGTGTGTGTGTGTGTGTGTGTGTGTGTGTGTGTGTGTGTGTGTGTGTGTGTGTGTGTGTGTGTGTGTGTGTGTGTGTGTGTGTGTGTGTGTGTGTGTGTGTGTGTGTGTGTGTGTGTGTGTGTGTGTGTGTGTGTGTGTGTGTGTGTGTGTGTGTGTGTGTGTGTGTGTGTGTGTGTGTGTGTGTGTGTGTGTGTGTGTGTGTGTGTGTGTGTGTGTGTGTGTGTGTGTGTGTGTGTGTGTGTGTGTGTGTGTGTGTGTGTGTGTGTGTGTGTGTGTGTGTGTGTGTGTGTGTGTGTGTGTGTGTGTGTGTGTGTGTGTGTGTGTGTGTGTGTGTGTGTGTGTGTGTGTGTGTGTGTGTGTGTGTGTGTGTGTGTGTGTGTGTGTGTGTGTGTGTGTGTGTGTGTGTGTGTGTGTGTGTGTGTGTGTGTGTGTGTGTGTGTGTGTGTGTGTGTGTGTGTGTGTGTGTGTGTGTGTGTGTGTGTGTGTGTGTGTGTGTGTGTGTGTGTGTGTGTGTGTGTGTGTGTGTGTGTGTGTGTGTGTGTGTGTGTGTGTGTGTGTGTGTGTGTGTGTGTGTGTGTGTGTGTGTGTGTGTGTGTGTGTGTGTGTGTGTGTGTGTGTGTGTGTGTGTGTGTGTGTGTGTGTGTGTGTGTGTGTGTGTGTGTGTGTGTGTGTGTGTGTGTGTGTGTGTGTGTGTGTGTGTGTGTGTGTGTGTGTGTGTGTGTGTGTGTGTGTGTGTGTGTGTCGCGCATAACTCATGAACCGATACACAGAAAAACACCAAATTTTAAACTTATCTTTATTCCAGCGTCTAAAGAATTGATTAGATTTTGGGCAGAGTCTAAACATCTGGGGGGTACTTTATAGGTGGTCATTTTTATATTTTATGGAATATATCTGTTATTTATGTTTGGAAAAGAAAATTGTTTAAATAAAAGTTACTTCTAATATTATTATCTATAATTTTTGCTTTATGTCAAAATTTCCTGAAATGGTCCGTATTCGAGAAATTTGACAAAATGTGAAAAATTCTGATTTTTATGAAAATTGCTGAACTAAAAGTTATTTGCGATATCGATCTCTATAATTTTTGTTTATACATGATTTTTCTAAAATGGACCGTAATGGAAAAGTTCTAAATTTTTCAGTATTTTAGTTTTCAATGAATATCTATCGAAAAATGTTTCGAGGTAGACGTATGTGGACAATTTATATATTTAGTTTATCCTCTAAACATTTATAGAGATGCTGCAATAGGTTGTACAAAATAACCGGAATAAGCCTATAATAACTAGATACGAAAGTCATGTGTTGGACATATCAGATTTTTTCTGTATACCGTTTTTAGGCGGATAATAAATGGTCACATACATTTGATCGAATGTTTTTGTTGAAATAGCATTTTATCGAAAACTTTTCTATCGAATTTCAAAAATATCTAAATGCCAACAAAATCAATTGATCTAAAAACAAATGATCGAAAAAGCAAATAATAGAAAAACAAATTATCGAAAAAGCAAATAATCGAAAACCAAAGTATCGAAAAAAAACATTATTTAAAAGCATGTCATACCATATTTTGGGGATGTGGAATACGTTTCTTAATTTCGAATAAATGATCTTAGAATTTATTCTGGTACAACCTAGGTTTCTTCTATACGATGTTGCAAGAGTCGGTGGCTTTAAGGAGAATTGAGAGAGCTTGGAGGGAGGATGAGAATACGTGTGTGATGGCGGAAGTCTGTTGACTTCAAATCTAGAAATTTGACTCTAGTAGCTATGAAGTTCTTCAATAGTTCAATTGGTAGAGGCGCCGAGGACTACTCGGATATTCCAGCTTCGATTCCTAACCGATTCACTCATTTTTTATTGTATTTATTTCTCAGTGACTTTTCCGCACTCGTTAGGTAAATTATACTTTCATCTTTTATACTAAGTTAAATTTGTTTGAGATCTTTAAAAAAGTAAATACTTATTTTCAGTCTTATCTGACATTACTATGTACACTAATGGAGTAAGAATATTAATAATAATACCGAGAATGGTGTAAAACTGATAAAATAGATTGGATACTGCTTAAAATGTATAGACAATGGTTGGTTGCTTTCAGAAAGAATTCCTGAATTAACATTAGCTGCAAAAATGATAAATCTACATGCAGCCTCAGCCTTGGCTGAGTCGCTGCTAAGATATGGCATTCTAATATGGGGTGGGCTTCTAGACAACGCTCTCGATGGGCTGGACTCGACACAGAATACGTTGTTAAAAATATTGTTTCAGATATCCAACAAACCTATTATATAAAGAATTAGACATTTTCAATATTAAACAACTATATATTTACCAAACATCTTTATGGGCAATTTCTAATACTGAAAAACTTCCTAAGGTTTTACACACTACTTCCACAAGAGCTCTACTAAATAAGCATATGCCAATTCCTCTTTTTAAAAAAATGCACACCCAAAACTTTATCTGGTATTTTGGCCCCAAAATATATAACCTAATTCCTACATACATAAAAAATATTACAAATGAACGATCTTTAAAAAATGAACTTAAAATATTTGTACAGAAAAACTACAGTAAAATTAAGAAGGAAATATTTAGTGTTTTATATTAATTTCATGCTACATAATTACATATTCTTCAGTATCAGAGAGTAGCCTTTCTTTTCTTTTTCTTTATTAGTCTTGTATTTTATATTTTTATAATTGTTATTATTTTTGCTATTAATTATTTTTGCTATTTTTATAATTTCTGCTAATTTTTATTTTTATAATTGTTTTGATTTTTATATTTCCATATTTCTCTATCTTTTTCTTTTTTTTTTTGTTGTATTTTAAAATTCTAAATTCTTTGTTTTTGTTTCTATAGTATATACTTAGATTTAAATTAAACAGCATTTATAAAACGTAAAAAAAAACTAATATAAAGATTCCGCACACAAACTTTGTTTAGGCGGGTCTTAAAAAATTGTTAAAAAAATGTAAATTATTTTAATGAATAAATTTGATTTGATTTGATTTGAGTTATCTTTAGTACCATATTTTAAAAAATTCCGCCCTTTTTTTTTAACTTTAAAATCTATATGTAGACTTAATTCCTTAATACTGACAAGATTTTTGGGAACATGATATTATTGTTCTCTAGTTTTTCTAATAATCCTCTTCGTATACGATTTTTTAAATAAAAAATATCAATCATTTACAATTTAAGTTACCTATATATCCTTCAGTTATTTCAAACATATATTCTTAGGGTGTATCTAACGCATTGAGCGTAGAACGAAATATTAACGATTATCGTGAATAGAAAATGTTTATTATTTTTTTCTCGCACTTTATTTTGTTCGACCCTCCCGAATCACTAAAATAGACTCTCGGAGCAAATTGTGTGAAAGAAACACTGATTTTGTTTTATGTGTTCCGTTCACTTACGTAATTTCTGGTCATACCAAACCAAGGAGTTAACTTAAATTTAATTGATGATAGTTAATACCTAATTATCTTATCCTCTAGAAAATAAAGAAGAACTACTAGTTTATAAAGTGATTTAACTTTTGCTTTCAATTGTATCTATCTAGGTCAATGACTCTGGCTAGTTCAAGTTTAATATACGAGTACACAGTTAAATACTCGTAATTTTATGACTTTATTATATGCGCCACATGACCCTGTTATTCCACAAGCATAAAATTGGAAATAAATGTGTTTTGACTTCGTTTAATTTATGAAATTGGTGACTTAAATTATTCTTCATCTAAGGAAGGAGACAAAAAGTAAAATATTTGCATCTCACCAAATTCTGTATACTTCTTTTTACTTGATTCGTATATGTGAAATTAAAAAACTTAAAAAAATGTATTATGGATTAATTTTTTTAGCAAATTGTGTGTATTTCCATTCATTAACATTTTTTTTTTGTTGCAGGCGTTATGTGGTTAATTATGTTATCAGTGGCGTGGTTAGCGGGCGTGTCATCAGGAATACCTTGTGAACAAGCGCGACTTAAATGTGCTTATCGAGTTGGATGCGGAATGGCTCTTCAGAACTACATAGTAGGATGTTCTGCTGTACTTCAAGGTGATGATTTTCCTAAACATTGTCCCGAAATTTGCCAATATTCCCTCACTGCCCTTACATCCACAGATGAAGGAAAGGAACTGATGAATGTAAGTTATGTTTAATTATTTCATGTCCAAAATAAAAAATTGTAGGGGAAGGTTGCCTAAAATGGGATACCTAAGGTTTCAAAAATTATAATGGCAAAAGTTTTCATATTTAGTGGTTCATATTTTGACATAATTAAAAACGACGTGTTTGGAATGTTATAATTTAAGCTGATAGTTGAAAATTTAAAAATAATGGTATTATTTTGCACACAAAAAAATAGTATTAATTTCCCATTTTGGGAACTATGGTTGAGGTAAAATGGGATAAAAAAATTAATGTTAAAAATGGTGAAAAATGTTTTAATACAAAAAGTAGGCAAATCAAAAGTAATTTGTGTAATGTAATAAGAAGAAATTTTGAAATGTCAGTTGCGACATAAATCGCAAACAAAGAAATCTTCATTATCTTCGACTCCTGCACAGGTATCATGTGCCCAATTTTTTCAACTAACACATTGTATCCATCCTTCGCCACGTCCATCTTTTGAATACCTGTTGTTGCAGTAAAAGCATTCCGCATTATCATCGCTTTCTAATGATTCAATGCTCTTTTTTTGTAATTTTTTCGTTTTGATTAAAGGCTTTTTAGATTTTTCTTCATTCATTAAGTTGATGTTTTGTTTTTGAAGCTATCTTCTTAACATTAACTTTTTTATTTCTTTCCTTTAAAGTGATTTCAAATTCTTCCTTATAAGGGGTGCTCGTAAGAATGGCAGCTTTTCCTTTTTTTCTATTTGTAGTTTTTCGAATATCAAGCTTACGAACTTTGGGATAAGGATCAATTTGTTCAGGACTTATCAAAGTTATACCTTTGCTCGTGGATGGCATATCATGTAAAGCACTTGTTTTGGCAACCTCGGAACATTTCTTTGGAAGAGCCATTATTTATTTAGGTAGAGATTCTCTATTAGGGTCATTTTCGGGTGTAGCTCCTCTATTAGTTTCAATTTCGCCTGTATATTCCGAATTAACGTTATGTTCGGGTGGATCATCTTCGGAATCGGAAGAAGATGGTACGACATCATCCTGAACTTGTGGTTTGTCTGTTGAAAGTGTTGCAATAAACATATTCTCGGTAAATACAGTGCGGCTTACTGGGTACTGTCCAGTTTTTTCAAATCCAATAATAGCATTTATCGGAGTAGAAGCACGAAGATATGCTCTGCCAAATAAATAAGAAACTTCGCTTACAGTGATGCATCGCCCTGGATGATTTCTAAGCCAAATCTCCATTTCTGGTAAATAAAAGGTGCTTAGAGGGGCCATAAATGACACGTCCAAAGTCTGGAGTCGATGACTACAGTATGGTGGGAGACATAAAATTGTGACACCATTTTCTCTTGCTTTATCTATGATATAAATAATTTGCGCATGTGTTTTATGACCAGCATTACATATGCTGGATTACTTCTGGATGCTTTTATGTGAGAGAGAAAATGATTAAACCATTTATCAATTAGATGCAATAGCATCCAACTATTTTTATGAGCAACTGTAAATGTTCCTGGAGGAACACCCTCAAGAAACTGTGGCTTCATACGAACTCTAGGAATGATTAACATAGGCGGGACAAATATTCCACTTGCACTTATGCAAATTACGGCTGTAGGCAGCTCCCCAGGTTCGGCAGACGTCAGGGTACCCACTTGTTTCTGATCTCGAAGTGCAATAACTTTTGAAGGACGATCCTGAACCGTCTTTATGCCTGTTTCATCCACATTGAAGATCCTGGCCGGAGGAAAGTTATTTTCTTGTCAAATGCCTTGGCTAAGTCTAAGAATATCGCTAGGCATTTTTTATTATTGTCAATACCATTAATAATATTTTGCACAAAGTCTAGAAGCGCGTCTTGACAGCACAGATTTTTCCTAAAACCATATTGACTTGTACTTAATATTTTGTTTTGTTCAATAAATTCAACTAACCTTTTTTTTAAATATTGCTCAAAAAGTTTTAAAATATTATTTATGACTGATATAGGCCTGTAGTTAGTGGCTAGTTCTTTTTTTTTGATTTATAGACAAGTGTTATTACAGATTCTTTAAATGATATTGGTATTTTGCCAGTGGTTAATATTTGGTTGAAAATGTGTGCTAACGAGTTTAAGATGTAAGGGTGTATATTTTTAATTGTAGTTACCGATAATCCATCTAGGCTACTTGCCGATTTATTTTTTAATAGTGATATATGCTTTTTTAATTCGTTGTTTTTAATGGGGTACATAAACAGAGAATTGCCACTAGAATTATGGGTTATAGTTTTAGTAGAAGCAGTTATATTAGGACTATCAATTTTTTTTATTATTTTATTACCTATTTCTGCAAAAAAATAGTTAAATACATTTGCTTTAGTTTTATTACATTTAACTTTTTCTCCCTTTTCATTTATGATATTGTAACTTTCTTTTTTGTTATTTTTTTCTGTGTTAGATGCCTTTTTACTGTGTCCCAAATTTTTTCATAATTATTTTTTGCTTTTGTAATTTCAGATTGGTAGTAATTATTTTTTACTTCTTTAATTAATTTGATTAAAAAATTTCAGTACCTTTTGTATTCTTGCAGAAGTTCATTACTATTTTTAGATATTGTTTTTTTAGGTAATCTCTACGTCTTATAGATTTAATTATGCCCAAGGTAATCCACGGTTTGATCTTATAATTTTTATTATTGTTTCTATTAATTTGTTTAATATTTTTAGTAATATGTTCTTGAAGTAGTTTAATAAATTCATTATAGCTTTGTTCAGTATCATTACTGTTAAAAACGTTAGTCCATTTTTGAGACTCCAGATCTCTGTATAATGTTTCATAATTAATTTTGCCGAATATTATTTTCATTTAATTTATTATTTTTTTCATTACTAATCGAAATAAATGTGGTATAATGATCCGTTATATTTGTCTCAAATAAATAAGGCTTAATATTAGTTTTACTTTTTATTTTATTATCTAAACCTACAAAAAAAATGATCTATGCAGGTATTTGTTTCTTGTCTCGTTACTACGTTTATATAAGTAATGAAAAAGACCTTGTTGATTTAATACATTTAAGTAAGAATCGACTAAGTTATTCTGCCCGGCAACTAATATATCAATGTTAGTATCTCCAGCAAATATTTCTATCTCAGACTTTTGTAAATTTAAAAAATAATTCTCTAAATCATTAATAAATTGTTTGGCGTTTATAGACAGTGGTCTATAACATGCAGTAACTGCATAATTTGTGCCATTTATTTCACCTAATAGTCTTAAGACACTAACTTCGCTAAATTTGACTATGTTCACGTTAACTTCTAAGTTATTATTAATATAAAAAAGTGTGCCAACATTTTTATTATACGTTGATTCACTATAGTATATTGCAAAATTTAGAATTGCAAAATGTTTTACTTTATCAATTACATTAAACGTTTCAGAAAGTATTATTATGTCCAATTTTTCAGGCCCAAGTATTTCTGGATTAATGACTAATTCATCAAAATTTTTCCTAAGTGATCTTATATTGTAATGAACTATGTTTAATAGTCTTTCTTCAGATATAAAATTAGAACCTTCTTCAATATCAGAAAATATCCTAGTTTTTACTTTTTCTTCATAATCGTCTCCTAAATTCATGAGAGGATTTACTTAAGAATAAAACTGAAAACATCAGTCATAACCCCTTTAAATAATAATGCCTTGTGCAGTAAATGAAAATAAATAAGCAAAGTACGTATTTTTTGCGGTTAACAGCAAAATGCATTAATGCGATATTCATAGTTAGGTTTAGATAAACCAAAGACAAAAGAAAGTAACTATTAAATTAAATTATTTTAGTAGATACTATGAGTTTTGTACTGACCACAGTTACATTCATTTTTCACTGTTCTTTTTCAAATAGTTGTGGTAATTATCCACATTGTTTATAAACACTTTCCTGTTGTCTTTAAATATAATAATTCTCCCATTTTGAGTACAGCACAAATTGCCCACTAATTGACGAACTTTTTTAAATAACTTTAAACAATTTATTGTTAGCATTTCTGTTCATAGTTCAAGAGATTTAAAATTGAGAAAAACTCTAGGCTTTAAAATTAATCTTGGCTATTTTGCGCACTGGTCTTGTATTGCAAGAGATTTAAATAGACCTTGCAATGACAATAAGAAAATGGTTTGACTCTCTTAACACTGTCTTATCCGTTGCAGGTAGTTAAACTAGAATAAAGCATAAAAGAACTTTGGAGTTGCGCCAAATTGAAACAAAGAGAAAATTCTAAAGTCCTTCTGTGTGGGCTACTAAATATTATTTAGATATTTTTAAACTAAAAAGTCATCGTTTCAGTTGAGGTTTATGCTTATTATACAGGGTTCATTGGTTAATGCGCATACGTTGGGGGTAGTTAGGGTACACCAAGGTGGTTCTAAATAAACTATATTTATTGAGTCAGATTCTTCAAGAGAGTATAAGGTGTGTACATACTGGGTGATAAGAAATGAAAGAATATGGATTTAAAGTGTGCATAGGAAGGAAAATATATTAATAAATTTCTACTTTATTAAATTAAATTGGGACATTGCAAAGATTAATAAAGATACGATACTTAATTAAACACATTTAAACTTACTAATAAAAAAAAACATATTGTAAGGTTAGAAAACAAAAAAATTCAACCGGTTAGTCCAACTGAATGTTAGTTAACAACTTCAAAATCTCAAGATAAGCGAAAGAAAATTTTCTCCACGTACGCGTGGACGAGCAGAAAGTAACAGGTTGCAATAATGCACTGAACGGAATTCTTGAGTTTCTTATTGATCCAACAGTAAGTGGAGGCCCAAACAATGATAAAATATGAGTAAGATAGTTGAATTAAGTGTTTAATTTTGAGAAACGTATAATCCCACAAACAGTATGAAATGAACTTTTTTTGAACTACACCGACTATTTGATTTGACAGTTAGAGGCTGAATTAGAAATAGAAGAATAAAAAAGAAGAAAAAACCGCGGGTCATTCAAATATATTTT